CGGACTGTTATCCCCATCTTCATTGCATAATTCGCAACGTTTCGGCCATTATATCTCTGACATGAGGTATTATGAATAATTGCATTATTTAAATTGTTCGGACTGTTATCCTCATCTTCATTGCAATATTTACAACGTTTCAATCTCTATATCTCTGAGATAAAGTATCATGATTACTTGCATTATATATTATTCTATCTGTTATCCTCACCTTCTTGGCCATATTCACAACGTTTCGGCCTCTATATCTCAGAGATGTGGAATTATTTGCATTATTCACTTTATTCGGACTGTTGCCCTCTTCTTCATTGCCATATTCACAACGTTTCGGTCTCTATATCTCAGAGATGAGAAGTTATGATTACTTGCACTATTTACATTATTCGTACTGTTATTCTCATCTTCATTGCCATATTCACAACGTTTCGGCCGTTGTACGACCAGGCCTTCTTCAGGTGATTGAAATTGAGGTGTCATGAAAATGGCTTTAAACGGATGCACATTAGGATTTCTACTCTTTTTGTTGCGTTGTTACCAAACAGAAAAAAACAATAGAAATTTAATGGTTTCAGGCAAACTCTCTATGTATGGGGCCTACATTGTCGTCTCATTTTTTGCGGTTTATCAACCCTTTGAATGTTATCGAAAATAAGGAAATATATTTAGATTGTTTTATTCTTTTAGGTAATAATGGTTTAGTGATACAAGTTTAACTAATTAACCCACTGTTTGGGAGAGAAGTGATGGATCAATATACTTCTCAAGGGTATTTACGCGTAATTAAATATAATGAACCCGGTGGTAACTGAAACTATTCTCACCGATTATCAATTCCGAGCCATTATTCATTACACCACACGCACATCCAATCTTACAGTATCTGTTATTCACAAAAGGTCACCCATCAAGATAGTGATCAGGGTCGACGTTGCTTAGCTTCAGTGATCGTATGGAGACTAGTGTTTCAATGTGATGTGGCCGTAAGCCCATTAGACCACTCGCACACACAAGCTTAAAGCACCTGGTATTCCCAAGTGGTCACTCATCTAGGTACTGACCAGGCTCGGCGTTGCTTAACTTCGGTAATCGAAAGGGAACCGGTGTATCAATGTGAGCTTCTCGACTTGACGGTCGAACTCTCTGCTTTTGAGCAGAAAGGAATCCGGACGAGTTTCCGCCGAAGGACAGAATCTCGTTCGGGGAGAAATGACCAACCCGATCTCGTTTTTACGAGTTATACGGGCATTTTTTGGTCGAGCCAATGGGCTCGGGAAACCCACGATAAACTCGGCCTTGTGCCACATGCAACCCTCGTGGGGGTGGGGGGGCTAGATACCGTATCAATGTGATGTGGCTGTAAGCCCTTTAGACCACTCGCACACACAAGCTTAAATCACCTGGTATTCCTAAGCCCTTACTCATCTAGGTATTGGTCAGGCTCGACGTTGCTTAACTTTGGTGATCCTAAGAGAACCAGTTTTTCAGTGTAATGTGGCCGTAAGTCCTATGTGTGTACGTCTCTGTGTGTGTGCATATATATTTAAAATATTTATTTTTGTTTAATTGAATGGGCACTTCATCCAATTGCTGGCAATAAAAATCGGCATTAATGCCATCGAATGAATATCTTTTGGCTTAAACAATTGTGAAGATGCTTGAAAAGGTGGTATTAGTTGGCGAGACGTCAAGGCAATATGAAATATACGGCAAAGCCTCGCATCCTACGACGGTTAACTACTTCGGCAGTGCAATCCTGGAAATATGTGGCCTAGAATTGACATGAAGTGGAATTGGATCTTCTCGAACACTAATGCTGGTCGTGTTTTTCTTAAGAGAATATGCATTTCATCCAGTTGCTGGTAGTAAACTTCGGCATTAATATTCTGGTTATATTCCATAATGTTGTGATGGATAACGCCAATGGTGGACCACTAGACTGTTACCAAAATCTTCTGCAGGTTTTGTAAAGTCTTTGAATTGTTCGTTATGATCAATCCATTGTCTCGATCGTTTTCGAATGTCATAAAGGATCAATTTCTCATCATTTCGATCAATAAATGGCCATTCGAATTTCGTAGAACAGCATCGAGCGCACTTCAAAACGTCGAACTTTTTATTTTCTAGACTGGTATCCCCACTGTGGAACTACCCACTGTGGAACTCCCAACTGCGGAACTCCACACACACTGAGGAACTCCCCATTGTGGAATTCCCTACTGCGTCATACTGTCCGACAACATGTGGATCTTGCCTTCCGTTTAGCATTAGCTGAGTTCACGTGAAACGCCTTCATCGAGTTTCTTCACCTTCCCAATGTTCTTCCAAATTTGATCCGATATTGTTGATATGCTAATGTTGGCAACAGTTTGAGGGACCTTCTCTGCCACATTGAACTTCAAGGCTGGTATCGCCACTGCGGAACTCCCGACTGCGTCATATTGTTCAATAACACGTGGATCCTTCCTTCCGTTATCTGTTGATATTGGCAACAGTTTGAGGGACCTTCTCTGCCACATTGAACCTCAAGACTGATATCCCCACTGCGGAACTCCCGACTGCGTCATATTGTCCGATAACACGTGGATCCTTTCTTCTCTTCTCTGTTGATGTTGGCAACAGTTTGAGAAGTATTATAACCAGCTTATCTTTTAAAATTTGTTAGAACACAAAAGGTTTATTCTAAAATCGGACATTATTTTCTGGACAAGCTAATACAAGTGCTGGCACGATCAAAAATCCCTTCAATCCCCACCCCGACTGGACGGAGCGTATTTGATAGGGGGGGGCATTGAGCGAAATACTGGCCAATGTTAGTACTCAATACCCTCTCATGTTGCTGCAATATTATTATTATTATTATAATTATTATTATTATTATTGTTGTTGTTGTTGTTGTCTTTCTTCGCCGTCTTTTTCTTTGCTAGCTTCGTCTTCTACTTATACATCTCATTTCTTTTCGCTATTATTATTAATATTATTATTGTCCTTCTTCGCTGGCTTCTTCCTTGGCTGCCTTTTTCTTCTTCTATATTTCCTCTTCCTCCTCCTCTTCCTCCTCCTCCTCCATCTTCTTCTTCTTCTTCTTCTTCTTATTATTATTATTGTCCTTCTTCACAGTCTTCGTCTTGGCTACCTTCGTCTTCTCCTTCTACATTTCCTTTTTCTTCTTCTTCTTCTTCTTCTTTTTATTATTATTATTATTGTTGTTGTCTTTCTTCGCCTTCTTCTTGGCTGCCTTCGTCTTCTACTATATTCCCTTTTCCTTCTCACTATTATTATTATTATTGTTGTTGTTGTTCTTTTCTTTGATTTCTGTTGGATACATATTTCCTTCCCTATCCCAATGAGAGACCTAAGGAGAGAAATGAAAAAAAAATTGAACCTATATTTACACACATTTTACATAGATAAAGTTGTTCGTAATATGGGAACTGTACTTGTGGGCACTATTTTTTCTTTTTTAATTTAGTTAAGGCATGGGCTACCAGGAATCCGTTCCATAAGACTATCAGAATATTTTCGAATCCATCAAGGACTCCGACTACGTCTGGAAATATTTATGCCCTCATTGCGCGCATTTTCGAGATTTCCACTTCAAGATCCTTGTATTTTGATCAAGTGTTGAAGGTCTTCAGAGTCACATTAATGTCTGTAGCGAGGGCCCCGTCATTCTGTATGTATAGTCTGGGTAATTAGCTTTGATTATTCTGTATGCGTAAAGTCCAGTAAAAGTTTTAGTAGTCCTATGACTCTAACCAGGCTTGAGTCGTGTTTGTACCAATTTCTTGCAGTTTCTTTCCAAAGATCAAAATGTTCCACTGCAGACTTTGGCCATCACTGTCATTCTGAATGTCATATTCTGTGGATGCTAATACCGTACAATATGATACAATATGTTCATTTGTTTCTGCATTTCGGATTAACACAAATTTCGGCATCCATCTTTGATAATTTCTAGTTAGCAAGCTTTAGTCCTATGCAGCAAGAATAAACCCTTCGGGTTCAGTTTTTAAACCTGCACTACATAACCTTTATTTCAGATCGTTTGGCATGAGCAGAGTATTGGCCATGAAGAAGTTTCTCACGTCGTCGTTTCCATATTTATTAGATTGCATTTGCCTTTGCTTTCTTTTTTAGCTTTGTCGCTGCAGTGGGAGTATTATAGCTTAATTACTCCATTTTAAAATTATCCTCTTTCTTTATTTCTGAATAAAGTTTGTAATTTCTTTAATGTCCTTTCACACAAATTATGTTTTCGGTAGTTTCCATGTATCTTTGAAGAATGATTCTTGTGATTTTGGAAGACACTTCTAGTTGAACTAATCCTCTGCCTCCATCGGTTCTGGGCACGTACAGATGTCAACATCAGTGTTAAGATGACGCATGCAGTGACATACGAGAAGCTTTCTCATTTTGACAACTATTCGCTTGATGTCAGTTATTAATATTATTATTCTTGCTATAATAATTATTATTATGATTGTTGTTGTTTTTGTTGTTGCTGTTGTTACTGTTCTTCTACGCCGTTTTCTTCTTGGTTACACTCGTCTTCTCCTTCTACATTCCCTTTTTTCTTCTCACTATTATTATTATTATTATTGTCCTTCTTCGCCGTCTTCTTCTTGGCCATTTCCATCTTCTCCTTTTTCTTCTCACTATTACTGTTATTATTATTATTATTATTGTTTTCATCTTCCCCATTTTCTTCTTCTTGGCTCCCTTCATCTTCTACATCTCATTTTTCTTCTCAATATTATTGTTATTGTTATAATTATTGTCCTTTTCGCCGCCTTCTTCTTGGCTACTGTCGTCTTCTCCTTCTACATCACATCTTCCTTCTCACTATTATTATTATTATTATTATTATTATTATTATTATTATTGTCCTTCTTCGCCGTCTTCTTGGCTACCTACGTCTTCCATTTCTAGATTTCCTTTTTCTTCTTCTTCTTCTTCTTCTTCTTCTTATTATTATTATTATTATTATTATTATTATTGTTGTCCTTCTTCGCCGCCTTCTTCTTGGCTACTGTCGTCTTCTCCTTCTACATCACATCTTCCTTCTCACTATTATTATTATTATTATTATTATTATTATTCTTATTGTCTTCTTGGCTACGTCTTCTTCCATTTCTAGATTTCCTTTTTTCTTCTTCTTCTTCTTCTTTTCTTCTTCTTCTTCTTCTTCTTCTTCTTCTTCTTATTATTATTATTGTTGTTGTTGTTGTCCTTCTTCGCCGCCTTCTTCTTGGCTACTGTCGTCTTCTCCTTCTACATCACATCTTCCTTCTCACTATTATTATTATTATTATTATTGTCCTTCTTCCCCGTCTTCTTGGCTACCTACGTCTTCCATTTCTAGATTTCCTTTTTCTTCTTCTTCTTCTTCTTCTTCTTATTATTATTATTATTATTATTATTATTATTGTTGTTCTTCTTCGCCCTCTTCTTCTTGGCTATCTTCATCATCTCCTTCTACATCTGCTTTTCCTTTTCACTATTACTATTATTGTTATTACTGTTTCCATCTTCCCCGTTTTCTTCTCCTTGTCTCCCATCGTCGGCTTCTTCTTAATCTCTTTTTTTTTTCTTCTCACTATTATTATCATCATTTTCCTTCTTCGCAGTCTTCTTCTTGGCTACACTCATCTTCTCCTTCTACATCCCCTTTTTTCTTCTCTTCTTTTTATTTTTTTTTTATTATTATTATTATTATTATTGTCCTTCTTCGCTTTCTTCTTTTTGGCTACTTTCGTCTTCTCCTTCTACATCTTTTTCTTCTCACTATTATTATTAGTAGTAGCATCACTAATAGCGGTAGTTGTGATGGTGGTGTTTTTGTTGATATCTTTTTCGTTACCTTCATTTCGTTCTCTATCAAATTTTCATTAGTGCCATTTTTTACCTCAAAACGTTTCGTTTCTTTTTTTATAAAATATTCTAGACATTCTCAGCGGAAGACAAATACATCTTCTTTTATTGTTGTGTATGTTATTTCTCCGAAGATTTTAAATATAACAAGAAAGATAATTTAAAAAATATATATATATATATCTTGTTTGCGCTACCATAGTTAGAAAAATTTGGCAATGCCCGCGCTTTCTTTCATCA